TTCGCAGGGAAATTGGAAAGAAAATTCTGAGAACATGGGGAAGTTCAGCTCTTTCTTTCTGTCATTAGGGAGTGAACATGTAAACCAATGAAATAAGGAATATTCAAAGCCTATGCCCCCGAACTAGTTTTAATGGTGAATTGTATTTTTTCTCCCTTTTCACATGGAAAATTTAGGATGGACAGGAAATTTAATATTTGGGTAACACCAAAGGCCTTGCACGTATTGACTGTCTCTATCCCTGTATCGATTTTCCCAGAAACGTGTCCTCGTGTCATTTTAAATGAAGGTTCTAACTTTATTTTTAAATATTTTTTGTTCCTTTTTGAGCAGTGCATGATAGTATTTTTGGGTAAAAACTTCCCTTTTGAAAACCGACTTTCTCGTAGAGGTTATCCCTTTTATCAAAACTTTTTTTTTTTTTGAAAATTTTAGGAGCTATAATTTTTGAACCAACTCAGGCTTAATTGTCAGTGTCTAACTAACAAAGTGCGTACAATTTTTTTTTAAATAGATCGAAGTGAGAATAAAACCGGGCAGTTGGTGAAATTAATCACTGATTGCATAAGAGCGTAACTTGTCAGCACCTGTCAGGAGTTCGGCTTCGAAATTTTCGAAATTTTCCCTTTTATCAAAACTTTTTTTTTTTTGAAAATTTTAGGAGCTATAATTTTTGAACCAACTCAGGCTTAATTGTCAGTGTCTAACTAACAAAGTGCGTACAATTTTTTTTTAAATAGATCGAAGTGAGAATAAAACCGGGCAGTTGGTGAAATTAATCACTGATTGCATAAGAGCGTAACTTGTCAGCACCTGTCAGGAGTTCGGCTTCGAAATTTTCGGGAAAATTCCGCTGCGTGGCGCCTTTGTAACGAGGTCAGGCCACGCAGAGGACGCTAAATTTGAAATATGGTGTGCACTCATTGCGGAGCGGGGGCGGCGGTACCCGTGCATTGAACCACATCTCAACGCTCCCAATGTAAACTCAGGTGACATGTTGCGTACATGTTGAGTAATGACTCACCCGATTTCACACGGGGCTCGCGTGATCCGAGGGATCACGGTTGTCCCTCGATCCACGCAAGGATGTTGCCCGATTCTTGGAAATTTCGCTTTTTCAAATTTCAGAGAAAAATTTTCCTTGAGAGGATTTGGCCAAGACTGAACACTCCGGATAGTGACTGTCGATCGCGCTCGCTTTGAATGGAGGTGTCTTAAAAATCTCGCCTTTGCATCTTAATTAGGAACTAAAATTTCAGGCTTATCCATAAAAGCACCTACCTGCATAGGGAAACTAATGACGCATATGCTGATTCTAACATGAGCTAGAAATTGTAGTTCCTAACTGCGAAATGCAGTTTAATGCACTTTTGGCGGATGTCTTCGCCGTGTTAGCAGCAATCATCATTCAGTAGCCTCCGAGGGGTTGAAGTTCGTCAAGTTCTAACAATTGATGCGCCTTCATATTGTAAACTAGGCAAAAAGTTCATCTCACGATTCGAAATAGCTGCTTGCTGACTGACTGTGAGTTTATTCACGCCTCTAAAATCCTGAATTTGAAGTTTGTGTTGAGCCGTCTACGCGAGTGCCAAGAACAAAGAGAAAATGGAATAAATGATATCAACGTTTGAAAAAGATCAAGTTTTGTCATGTCCTAAAATGTTTTCTCTGTTATAAATAAGAAGATTTCTCTAGGTAAGAAGAAAGATACTTTCGGACTTCATTTAAAAAAAAAAAAAAAAAAAAAAAAAAAAAAAAAAAAAAAAAAAAAAAAAAAACCCAATACTATAACAGACGACGATGATTCCACCTAAGTAATTAGGGGTTTTTTCACTTTTTCGGACGTCATTATTACGTGTTGACTTACTTTTTTGCTATGGTCCGATCTCTGTTCATATTTATACTGCGATTACACAATGGCCATTTCGAGTGTTCAATAACTCATGTTCAGGCGTCAATTTTTGCTATTATTATACGCACGTCAAACGATAAAGTGATAAAACTGTATAGTTTGCATTGTAAAAAAATAGATTTTTATGAGTGATTACCGGTACGTCATCACCTTGTTGGTGACGTGGACTCGTCAACAAGGTGATGACCGGTAATCACTCTCAAAGTTCTATTTTTTTTACAATGCAAACCGTACAGTTTTATCGTTTTATCGTTTGACGTGCGTATAATAATAGCGAAATTTTACACCCGATGATGAGTTATTGAACACTGGAAATGGCCATCGTGTAATCACAGGATAAATATGAACAGAGATCGGACCATAACGAAAAAAATGAGTCAACAAATAATAGATTATTTTCCCTCTCCATTAAATCACCTGTGAGTAGAATTTTATTTCTGTTACTTTGCCCGGGCAAAAGCTTTCCTTATATCCTCCATTTTTTTTTGAAAAAACTAATCCGAAGTTTCTCATAACATGGCAACCGGGATTGCACGCTAACGAGGAAATTGCGTCGTTACGAAAGCGATCGCTCCGCGCTTTCCGTTACAGAATTTTGACCTGCTCCCGTCAAATTTTTATTGCTTTGAGTCATTGTTGTATCAGCCTGCGACCCAATTCTCTCTCGGCCTGCAAGTGGGGAAGGGCGGGAAATTTGAATTACGCGTAAATAAAAACGCGTGCTGCCATGGTGCACGGTTGACGCTGAGCAAAGGTTGCATTGTCTATTTGCTGTGCCACTATCACACGCGTCAAATTTCATTTACAAATCCGGTACCTCACTCCTACTCTTCCTGGCCGAATTCATGCTTTGCGATTCAAGTACCGTATACCTACTATCGTTCTCCAGTTTCTCTCTTTCTTTCTAAGGACTCAAATGGTGGTTCACGATGGTCAATGATGGTCAATGTAAGGAGGAAACCTTGAGAACAGGACGCGAAAGATAAAATTAATTTTTTTACAGTAAAATTCCACAAATTAACTTTCAAATTGATTTTTATAGAAAACCTGAGTGTTTTGCTGCCACAACAAATAAAAATAACTACAATGGAGTAAACTATAGACTTTATAAAATGTATGAATAGCAACAAAAATTAACTCCGCATCTTTTGCCTCAAAGGACATCCAAAATTTGAGAACGGTTTTCATGTCTGTCCTCGAATTTTAGAGTTTTTTCAGCGGCAAACGATGCAAAACCAGTTTTTCTAGGATGGAAACCTCTTCATCTCAAGTTTAATATTCTCAGTGGCCAAATACTTCAACCGTCGTCAATTCTGATCATGAGCCATTTACGCAATAATATTATGCTTGAATTTTACTTCAAGTTTTTTGAAGATATCTTTTTCGTGACACTGTGTCGAGAGCTTTCTCAAATTCTCAGAATCAATACTTTTTTTTGGTGTATTAATAAACCAAAGACATTCCGTGTTAAACCAGTTTCAAGAAATTGTAGAGCCAAGTGTAAAAAAGACAGCGCCATTTTAGAACGTAAAATTCTCCAAATTGTCTTCCTACAATGTCCGAAGATGTCACTCACTTCTCAAAGCCGGCAACAGCGAAGTTACGCGAGCGATTGCTCTGTGGATGATATTTGTCTACTGCAATTTTGTGTTTGTTCTCGTCACCTCCAGTGGCGTGGCGTGAATAATCGATTATCGATATCTCGCCATTTGAAGCTATGGTAAAGAATCGATTACTGAGGTGTTCGCTGCGAACACCCTGATAATCGATCTTTTTTCATAGGTTTAAATGGCATAACGATCGATATATCGCAATTCACGCCACGCCACTGGTCACCTCCTCTGTTTTGCTCCCGTTTCCTTCGAATTCGTTAGAATATTCCGGCGGCCGGTCAATAATATATTTACTCTGTCACAGCTCTTGATCCAATATTTACCGATTCTTTACCTCCTTCCCCGTGCTTTCTCACGGTGGTGTATGATTTTCCAGTTTCCTCTAGTTTTCGTGGCGGTTGTATCGCTTCGCTTTCCAACGAAGGGAGTAATAGTCGATGTACCTAATATTTACTTTATCGTGGAAGTTTTCACAATCCTCTCGTTCATATTTGCTGCACAATATCTAATCTTCTTCTCGTTGTAACCTGCCCAGCTCTCCCCCCAGCCACTCATAATTACGCCCACAAGTAAGGCGTGCGGTATCATCTTATTTTGAAGGCATCTTCCTTGGCCTATTTTGCTATCCTTGCGTTGAAGTCTCTCGCTCTCTTCGTGTCACACACTTGCCTAAGACTTGAATTTACCGATTTTTGATTACGCCTTTGGGTTGAGCGTGTAGTACCCTTTAATTTTGAAGGCATTTGCCCTCGTTGCTACCTTTTTGTCGGAATCACCCTCTTACTCGCAATCTTGCATTCACCTCGAACTGCAACCGACGGTTAGAGTTAATTTATTCAGGGATTAATCTTACGTTGGTCCATGATGAATTGGGTGTCATCAAGCAGCTCAAAATTATTTCTGCCAGGTACTTTTAAAATCTTTTGCGGATTTGAAGGATGATGTGGCCTAACTTTAGCTCTGTGAGGGGTGAGTTTGCGGCAATTTAAAGCTCGCCCTTCGCAAATTGAAAGTAACGTGTAGAAATAGCTTAGAGGGTAGATGAAATGTTTTCCTCTAGTATCTTTGCAGATAAATTCGTTCCTGTAGATAGTATATGGGGATCGGGGTGTTTTTACAGGCATATCTTATCAAACTTATTTAGAGGCATATCCAATCAGTCTCATCCTCAGGAGGGCGAACAAAAACTTTGCTCAAGAGTTTGCCCCTCACACACGCAGTAATCTCACACATTGTGAAGAGGTACCGGGAACTTTCTCAATCCTGGTACGTTACGTTCCCAAGAAAGTTTGATCTTTAGGATACCCTTTGACAAACTCTTGAGTATTGATTTAGCTAATTTTTTTTTTTTCGTTTTTGTTTTTCTGTTTCTTGGCACTTGATGTTCCCAGGAAAGTTTTGATGTTCAGGATACCCTGTAACAAACTCCTGATTATTGATTTAGCTAATTTTGGTTTTTTGTTTTTGTGTTTCAGCTCCACCACGGCTGCAAGCGCTGGTGAAAACTCGAGAGGCCGGCGGGCGAGGCTCCGGGGCGGCGATCCGCTCGTACGCGCTCCATCTGGCGGCGGACAAGAGCACGACGTTCGCGCAGAACATCGACAACTTCATCGCGTGCACGCGCGACTCCCGTGAGCAGCGCCCGCAGGTCGTCATGCGTAACATGAGACAGTTCATGTCCGGCATGAAGAACTACCTCGTCAAGCACGGCGAACGCGAGTTCGAGAAGTGCGTCGAAAGAGAGCGCTCAAAGGTGAGAAACCCTCTGATTCCCTCTTCTGCCTCATTTTCACCCACCCGGGAGCCTTTACTGTTATTCTAGGGGGCAGTAGCTACCTCACAGAATCCTCGGAAACTCCCCTGAAAGAGTGAAATACGAGGGTTGCTGCTGCCCATGTACAATGCCTCAAGAGCCAAAAATCCACAAGGGTAGCGACGGGTCCATTGAAAACTTTTGCCGTGGCAAAAAGGAGTTGGTTTTTGAGGAACATTGAACATTCACATAACTATGAGCGAATCGGAAAACTCTGAAATTAACCCCCAATTACACAATCGGCGTTGAAAATTTAAACGATTATCATTATTTTGTAAAGTTTCCTGCCCCAAAAATTGATGCCGATAAGTCACCACAACTCCACGTAAAGTCTAACATCATGGTCATTCGTAGTATGCTTTTTAATAAAGAACATAACAAGCACCATTTAAACAACATCCTCTTTTTCCCGCTCTTCTCGCAAAAGTTTGCACCAAACCCATTGGGCTAATCGATACAGAAGGGGGGGGCAGTCACATTTTATTTAAATAAAAAGAACACAAGTAGAAAAAAAAGAAGAAGTGTAAGCTCTGATTGTGAGTTTTATTAACCGATCGCACACTTAGCACAAGAAGGAAGCCATCAACTCTTAAAATCGCCTTCAAATTCACCGGACGCAACAATGAATACCCTGATATGAATTATACGGCTCTTTACGGCTTCCGCACTTCGAAACTATTTCTACGCTCTCGGATGCATGTCTTTTTGGATTCAAAGAGGAGTGTTTCCTCTTCATGAGCCCTTTTACTGACTTTTTTCGACAATATAGTGCAAATTTAGACAATTGCAATCATTCAGAGGTGTGGAACTATGGGATTAATATATGTATTGCGCAGTGATTGGATTGGAGTATTGGATTTACATACATTCGTATGTATGTAAAAGTCTCGTCAAAATTGAGCAATGTTGCACTATTTCTTTCTCTTTACTTCAGGGCATCTTAAGTGCTTTATCTCAAAATACATTTTAAAGCATTGCAAAAATTCTAATTAATACCATGAAGTGCCAGCTTTCAATCAAGCCTGTTTACAGTCATATTCCAATCCTAAGAAACGGCTGTTTCCCTGTGTTCAATCATTCTAATCGATCATTTTAGACTGCCACTTAAACATCAAAATACAGAATAACACTTTTGATGGGTATTAATCTCCATAAATTATTTCTCGAACTTAATTTTTCGTAAAGACCTCTGAACATAATGACACCTCTTGTAAATTGAGAAGCAGTAAGAAACCAACGCAACGTCCCTTTGTATCTCCTGTTTTCTTTGAATATCTACTCACCTAGGTTTAACTTTTCCTCTTGCCAATAACAGATCAAGTGATATTAACTTCTCAAGATATTTACAAGTTGACAAATCTACGAGCTGTTAGCCTGATATTCATTTTTAAAACTTTCCATTGACAGATATTACACGGAAATTTCCAAGAATTAGAGACTCAGGGATCAGCATAGGTTTCCATTGTCATTCATTTTGTAATCATTTAGCGACTATCCTGATACATTGTAATATAAGCTAGCGTCAGTTTATTATTCTACTATTTTCCTACTTATTTATAAAATTGTTCGCAATTTTATTTATCATAATTAATAATGATTTCTTGATTTCTGTTTGCAGTTGCGCCCAAACGAATTCCTCAATTTAGATGCAATTCTTGAAGGCGTTATGCATAGGCTAGTCGTACGACCTCTGAAAGAGCACCTGTATTATTTATTTGTCAATGAATATTCTGATAATGGAGCCATTCAACTACTTGCAGATAATATTCAATATGCTAGAACCAAATCGCTCAGTGATCTAGGAATAAGGGTAAGTAAACTGCAAATTAATAAAAAGAAAATTATCAAGCTTTATTAAGAGTCGTCTAAATTTGTCTGTATACATTCCCCATAGTATTTATATGGTTAGTAAGTTCATCAATGTCAATCAATAAGACATCATGTATGTATGTAATAAATATTCATTTAGCTAGAATTCACAAAAGTCACTTTTTAAGGAAAAAAACTTCCATAAAAATTGTGATCAATCGTCATGTCAAAAAAACTAATAGCTTATGTAAGTAAGTAATAGTAATTTGCTGCTCATAGATTTCAAAAGTGACCTCATTTTTTGCTTTTTATTTTATTTTTCAATAATGGAAAACGAGATTGTTTCCATAAGGCTTTACTACCTCAAGACCTTCCCCATGTCTGACCTAAGATTTTATTTCAACTTTTTAACTGAACAATTCTTTTCTTTTTTACAGGCAAAAATCATACCACCGTCTGATGCTGATTTAGAAACAATTTTCCAATACCTAAAAAGGCTCCAAGTTGTTGATTCACCTCTGGAAAAATTAGAAAATTTACTCTCTTGTATCTCAGCTATTTTCAACTCCGTAAGTAACATTTAAATGCCTTGTTACTCCCGGTAGAGAATTTATTTACAAACTCTTTAAAAATATTTTATCCTTATTGAGTCCAAAAAAAGAAAAAAGAAAAAATGTAGAATATATTTAATTACTTCTTTTAATAGCTAACTTAATATTTCTTATTTATCATGGCTTTATGATTGCTTATCCTCCAAAAAACCAACATTTTTTTAAAAAAAGGGTTTCTTACCTATTTTATTCTCGTGTAAGTTAGCAAAGAAGAAAAAGTACCTTGTGAACAAAGAGAAGAATCTTACCTTTTTATTTGAAGTGATCCTCATCAATGCTTAGGTACTGTCTATATATGTAAATTGAGATTTTCTCTAAATTATTAAGCCTGAATTTTCAAAGTTTTTGCCAAAAGAGCCTCTACTTTCAATTGAAAGTTTACTTTGTTGTCTCTGTTATTCTCTACAATGACCATATATTGATTTTTCAGGTGAAATACTCCTCGCCAGAGAACGGTGAGCCAGTAGTTTTGGGAGCAGACGATTTCCTACCCCTGTTTGTCTGGGTACTAGTCCAGTCTGGAATGGTAGCAGCAGAGATAGAAGCAGAGTATATGTGGGGTTTGCTTCATCCCTCCCTTTTGTCTGGGGAAGGTGGATATTACCTCACAACTCTATCCAGTGCTGTTCATGTCCTTAAAAACTTCACAACTTGCTCAGAGGAAAAGCATTCTGGAGCACCTCTTGACGTAAGTTGTTTTTCTAACTTCCCATTGTTATTCAATAATTGAAAAATTTGTAAAAGAGAATTCAACAGTGGTTAAAATAACATTTTGGTTGGCTTTCTAAACTGATCAAAAAAATATTGGCAAATATTGGCAAATTTGACATCAGAGCCGTATTATAATATTGATTCTGATCATGCATTTTAAGGCCCTCTATTTAAAATTCTACATTGATCTCTCTTCTTAGAATTTTGTTAGACTGTAATGATGGTATAAAAAGTTATACACAAATTGATAACAGAAGCATATGTAAGAGCATCCCTGAAATTAGGTGAGGTGATAGCTGAATCATGCATACTTTGCCTAGGTAATAATCAAAATTGATTTCTGGATGATTTCAGTTTCTTTTACCCATTTTTCTTATTTTTTTAAGTGGCTAATGTCTTAGGCACTGAAAGCAAAACCCTTACTCTTACCGCATTGTCTTCATTTCTTATTGCTTTTCAAATGAATGGTTTCAAACTAATCCTCTCAGCAATAATACATTGCGGACTATCCGCGCTTTTCATTATTTAAACTGTCAGACCAATGTGTAGCGAGGGTAATCTGAATTCACAGTGTTTACTAAGAATGCAAAACTGGAGGGAAAAAAATGCATTAGTGTTAAATTTTGTCAGCTAGCTTAAAAAGTCTCTTAAATGTGCAATGCCTTATGCAACTAATAATGATTTTTTTTGTTTAACTTGCAGTGGGGTATCGGACCTCTTTCTGAATTCCGATCAGTGCTGAGGATAGTAGTTCCTGATGAGAGCAACGGATCGTTGTTGACAAAAACCTTGCCAGTGCGACCAAATATGACAACAAAAGATGTTTGTAAAATCATCGCTCACAAGGCGCGCATAACAAATCCTGAGGATTATGGCCTGTTCAAATTGGTCAATGGAGAAGGTGCGTATTTTAATCTCTTTAGCATGAATTATAATCAGTCCTTTAGAAATTAGCTTGTATAATCCATGAAGAGTTATCATTTGTTGCAAAAAACTTGCTCTGAATTTATTACTGGGGAACCATCTTTAATTTCCTCATGGAATAGCACATTTTATCAGAAGGATCAAAAACATCGCATAAATTATGTCTATCTTATTGATTTGTATAGTAGCACATTCATAGGTGTACGTACTGTTTGTTTTAGTAATGACTTCGAAATCATTGTGACCTGGCCTAAAATCTTGCCAATGATAGCTTAGTAAAAGTGTTGAAAATGAAAATGCACACAAAGCATCTGCAATTGGCTGCATAATTCCTGAAATTAAAATTTTATTTTGACCTTTTCGTAATTGTAAATAACCAATTATTTTAAAATTATATTTATAATTATAATTTTAATGTTCTCTTGTGTTCATACTAATTTCTCTTTCCTTGTTGGTTTGTATAGAGACCTTACTGAAGGATGACGAGTGTCCACAAGATATCAAGGGAGCTGTGACTGCGTCAGGAAAACACTGCATGTTTGCTTACAAACGAATGGACGCCAAAATTGCCTGGCCAAAAGCAACACCATCCGAGTGAAAACATTCCATTTAATTTACGATAGTCACTCATACTCTGTTTTTTTTCTCTTTTTTTTCTTTTCCTTTTTTTCACTCCTCCGTTTTTCTCATGAGAGCATATACGTATATTTTTTGACTGTGTTAATTTATTTTTAAGTCTCTTGTTCCTTTTCAAAATCCTTTTTGGAAAACTATTTCATCTTATTTTGCATCCAATCTTACATCTTGAGTTAACTAAATCAGTCATAATATTGATTTTAACTATGACCTATAATGGAATCAATATTTAGCTGTAAATAAGTTGTAAATAGGCAAACTTTTATTAGTCAAAACTATGATCAAAAAGTACCTTGTGTAACGAGTTATTTTTTTTTTAAATTTTTTTTTTTTCTTGTAAAATTTTACAACTTCTTTCTGACTGAAAAATTGTTTTGTTTTTAATTCCTCATCTTTTACTGAAAATAAAAGTAACTTTCTTTCAAGTACTATTTATTTAATGTATGAATTTCATTGATCATCCACTCAAGTTTTACCAGTATAACTTATTTAAGTAAGAATTACGCATGAAATTTACTATTTTAAAACATTTTCAAGATTCCTCTTCTATGGCTGTTTCTTGTAGGCTGATCACAAATTTCTACTCTGCTCAAGGCAGTCTCAATGGAACTTATAATCAAGTGACGTAATTTGCTGTACCATGTCAAAACTTCAAGAATCATGAAATTTTTGATGAGTTTGTTGAAAGCAAAATTTTACACAGAGGCAATCAAAATTTTGTATCAACAAATCAAATGACAAGATACAAACATTAAATCGTACCTTTCACTTTCAGTCTAGTCTTGACTGAGTCTCATTTTAAAGACAATATCTTAAAGATCAGCTTGCCTACAAAACTTTTTGTTCAGTCACTACTTGCCATGTTTAATCTTGATAATATAGTTTGAAATTATTTGATGAATGTGGTACCGAGTATATCTTCAACCACAAATTTTAGTAAATACATTTAAAAAAAAGAAAACATAAACAAATTTGAATTTTTTGCCATTATTCTAAGCATTGTGAGAAGGACAAGTCTGAAAAGAAGGTGAAGTTTTTATCCTCTTATCCAACTCTGCAAGCATCTGTATTTTGTTGTTATTTATCATGGACATTCCTTTTAACTTCATTAGTTTCATTTCACAAAAATATTACCAACTTCAAAAAAGTTCTCCCATTGTCAGAGAGACAATATTGAAAAAAATCACTGTTCTCATATGTCAGCCTTGGCCTCTTCAACATCTAAGGTCCCATTTGTACGGAACTAATTAAATCTAATTGTCTCACTTTCATGTGTTGAATAGAAATATTCATGAAAAGTTCAATTTTTAAAGAAAAATTTTTTTGGAACCATTAAGATGGTAGTCTGTATTACTTTACTGGTGTGGTAAAGAAAACCTATCCTGAATTTCATGTGAAACCCTGAACTACCAGATGTGACTTTAGGAAACTTGCAGAATCAAGGGAATAATTCATTTTAGAGTAGCTGCGGAAATGTCACTTGTCCATCCGTTTCAGTGCCAATGTATTTCAACAGTTCCTTTCTATATTGTTTTATGGCGCAAAAAGAAATGTTACTTTAGTGGATAAGTGGAGTCTGTGTTGCAGAGCTCTGCTTTCTCCTTGCCTTAGCTAACAGAAAAAATCATTTTCTGATTGCCTACTTAAAGTTGGACTTTTCAATGATAGGTATTTGTATCCAAAATAATAACAACCGCATAGCAAGACCGTAAAAAATGATCCTATTCTTAAGTCAGAGATAATTTCTATCCCTCTGATACAACAGCGTGATCATAGAAATGCCGATGTGTTTTGTTTCAATTAGACACTTAGCAATCAAATCAACTAAGAGAAAAGTTCCAACACATCAATATGCAAAAATCTCAAAACTGATGATCTATAATGTTCTTACTGACTTTTTTTCTCTACAACATTGAATACCTATCAAGAAGCTAATGAGGCATCCTACTCACACTCAGACTTAGTACTTTTTAGTTTGCCAGTCAGAGCAAAGGAAGTTCATAAAACTTAATTTTGGAGAAAAGGCAAAATTTTACTTTTCATTCGAGGAAAAATAATCACTTTTTGTCTAACTCACAGCAACATCAAGTACCTACCAGGAAAATTTAAATATACCTTCTTATAAAAAATCAAATACTTAAAGGATGCAGGTATTTGAGACAAACAATTTATGCACTAATTCAATCAATTTCTAATTGTTTTCCTCTCAAAATGTTTTGATTTAGTCCAAAGCAATGCCCCTTTGTGTGTTAAGCCACATTATAATTTGTAAGTACATACTATGTATTCATCATCAATGTAAAGTGATTTTTTGTTATTTTTATAACTCTACTACCTAGTCATTTCACTCACAATTTTATACTGATTTTGTCTCAAAAAAATTGTAAACATTGCTGTACCATTTTCTTGCTTCCAAAGTGGATTCCAAGTGGTTTTAATCAGTCTATTTTGCATCTGTATTAATTTTATACTCAAAATTAACAGATAAAAATTTGTTTTTAACCATTAAACTTTCTCTTTCTTTTTTCATACCTCTCCTCAGCTCATTATAGATTTTCCAAAATTGGCAACCAACTTTTTCACAAATTTTTTGGAGCATAAATAGTTCTTGTCCTTATTTCTCCCTCTCTTGAGGAATCTATGGTATCCTTTCATTTAATTTCTTTACTTTAAGCAATATTGCGTTTGATTTAACTCTTTTATTTATTTCTGGCAAAATTCAAGAATCTAATATAGTGGTTCTTGTTCTCTACTTGCCTTGCATCAATCGATGATAATCTACGTACATATATCACGCATATATCAATAGCTAAAGTGTGACACCTGGTATTTCCATTCACCATTACGGTGTTTCAAAATCTACGCTCCTAGAATATTTTTCTAAGAGGAGCAAGTCAACCTCGTACCTTGAAATTTTTACAGAATATTCTACTAATAGAGAAAAATATTCAGCTGGAATTATGTCCGTAACTAAGACTGGGAAATGAGAGAGGTATAATGCTTTGTTCTCAATGTGGCCTACGTGCGTATTTGAAGGCGATTTATTCGCAGCTGTAACGAGTCGTACTCTGTCGCACTCCGGCATTCATTTCAAATCGCGTTTTTCGTCTAACGAAGTTACAGAAAAATATCAAATGTGTGACATCGAAGATCTAAAAATCTCTGGTGTGGTTCATCATTAGCAAATTTTCAAACAATACTGTCTCTATGCGTCAAACAACTCGTGTTTGTTGGTACGCCTACTTTTCTTACGCTGCGTTAAAGTCTCTGACCTATATTGAACACAATGCTTACGGATGTGACGGAACTTTTTTTCTCACTGAAAATTGAGTAGGTATATTTCGGTCTTCTTGCGGGAAGGGTGGAAAGCGTGTTGGAAAATAAGAACAATAATATTTTTTTATTTACAGAATGTATTCACAAGACGCTTAATTTTTAAGGTGCTTGGTCATTTAAAAAATAAATTAATTAGTCGGCACAAAGTTCTGCCCATACGAGTGGAATGGCAGCAAAATTAACAACGGTAACAGTAACAACTTCTTTGGTTTCGATTGAGAGAATAACGTCGAGGTATCGTCACAATCTCAGTAAGATGGACGGTCAGCAATGTGTCTCGTGTCGCGGTGAGTTTGGGCCGAAATCAGGAGACTCTTATTTGTACTTGTCTTTTATTAGCATTCATGCCAGAGGCGCCCTTGAGAATCTTGAAATTTAGTACCATACGCGATGGGATGCTGAAAAACAGAGATACACGCAATTTACTATACCTTAAAATATTGTATTACTTTGCACTCGACATCATGATGCGATCGATTACAACAAAAGTACATTTATGCATGGATGCAAACAGAGCTGACTTATACCTTTCGTTTTGTAATTTATTATGTTAGGTCGAAAACTCGGAGTTTTCATCGAAAATCGCTATGTCCAGTGCCTCAAAATTATAAGATGGGAGAGTTAGTTCAGTGCATTTTTTTGTGATAATGAAGATGCATTATACTAAAATTTTGAGCCTGCCTCGAATAACTCAAAAATGACAGCTAAAGTTCAAAACTTGAAGTAGTTTTTTCCTCAAAATTGGCATCTTTTTCTATTGCAAGTTTGAAATCGTCATTCTTCTAGTTTGTTTTGACATATTTGAGAATTTGTCGTGCCAAAATGTTCATTAGCCATCCATCGATAATAATTCAATCGATTTCTTTCATGAGCGGTGAGGGGGTTAATGCGTTCTCCCGTTCCAAAATTACCAATTACAGTTTATTTTACTAGTATGGATAATCGAGCAAATATCCTCAGAGAAAAAAGAAATTTTTCCTCTCAAAATTCATTCATTTCTTCAAAAGAAATTTTTTTTTTCACGACCAACCGTGTGTGTTATTTCTGATGAGTATTAACCACTACTAATGTGGTAGAAAATTCGCGAACTTTTAAAGATGAAGATTCCATGTTTACACAGCTGGTCCCAAATCTTGCACGGAGAAAAAAACCTCGTGCGTGGGACCCGAAGTTTAGGTCATATGGATCTCTGAAGTTTTCAGATTGAGCATCTGAACAATTCAGGTCTAGCTGTCGTGGTTCGGATCACCATGGTTCGGATGTGATAACCGAAGTTTTTCTGATGCGAAAATCGAAGTATTTCAGATGTAAAAACTGAAGTTTCAAATGTGCGATCCAAACCTCAGCAGCTGGACCTTAAGTGTTCGGATGCTCAATCCGAAAACTTCAGAGATTCATATGACCTAAACTTCGGGTCCCACGCACGAAGTTTTTTTCTCCGTGTGGAATGCGACATTTTGGTTTGAAGGATGTGTTAGGTTTACTTACTGAATGGTCGGATGGGATGTTCCCTCCAGAGGTAGGTACGCTTGACGGGTGACAGGTAGCTGTTTCGGAGGTAGAACGGAGACTTGCAGGCGTAGGAGTAAGGCGATTCGAAGGGTCGGAGCTCGGGGTACTCGTGCCACCAGGGATCCCTCGTGATCCGGGAAATGGGCATGGAGACTAGGGGCTCCAGTAGCTCAGACAGAGGTCGTCGAGAGAACCCTCCTCGGGTGTAGATAGGTTGACCTGCCGAAAATTAAAAAAAATAGCTCACTAAAAGTCCGTATTAAAAAATATTGAGCACTTTCCGAGTGTCAACTAGGAGAATAGACCTCATTTGCAACTAGAAGCCACTATTTGTAGCTCGGCTATAAAATCATGTATCTGGATATGGTAACTGACGATTTAACAGTTTTTTAAAAAAGTTTTTTCGACTAAATGCGAGACATTATACTTCATGAGTGTTCGAAAAGCGGAGAATTCTGCACGACAATTTATGATGAAAACACACTGGAAAAGAACACATTGGATCTCGAGTCCAGACTCTTAAAAACATCGACAAGAGAAAATACTCTTGATTCAATCAGATTTAAGCTTAAATCAAGAACCAAGCCTCTTAATTTGAGCGGATTTCCTTTCGATTTAAGCTTAAATCTGCTTGAATCAAGAGTCCCTTTTCTTGTCAATGTTTTCAAGAGTCTGGGCTCTAGATCCTATGTGTTTTTTTCCTAGTGTAGAAGTCACTATTTGTAGCTTATCTATAAAATCACGTATCTGGATATGGTAGCTGATGATTTAACAGTTTTTTAAAAAAGTGTTTTCGACTAAATGCGAGACATTATACTTCATGAGTGTTCGAAAAGCGGAGAATTCTGCACGACAATTATTAATGATGAAAATATTAACTCTGGAGTGAGTGGTGAAGTATCGTGCGAATCTAAAGGCGTTTTCGACTCTGGTGACAACAGTGTCAACAGTCTGACTTTAAACTGACTTAAAAATCGAGATACGTTGTTGCGGACTTACACCGTCGTTTTGTGATTCGGTGGCTAAAGTGCGAGACCACGTATCTCGATTTTTAAGTCAGTTTAAAGTCAGACTGTCGGCACTGTTGTCACCAGTCAAAAACGCCTTCAGATTCGTACGATACTTCACCACCCACTCCAGAGTTAAAATATTTTTTTTTTTGTGATTTTTGTTTTGTTTTGTGATTTCGGTGGCTAAAGTGCGAGACCACATATCTCCGTTTGCGACGTTGTAGACTTCCAATCATACTTTATTTTATCCTCGGAGAACTAGTCAACGTAATTTCCTGAAAACTTTCTTGATTTTTTTTCTCTGACAGTAGAATATTCTGTGAAAATCTCAAGATCTTATCAGTTGACCTGCTCCTCTTGGGAGAAATAAACTAGGAGCTCAGACTTTGAGACACCGCAATGGAGATACGTGGCGCTTTGGCCATCGATGTTTATTGACCGAAGTTGTATTTTGCGTCGATTTCAGCGTTTATAGGAACTGAGTCTTGGTCAGATATACTTAAAAGGCAAAACACTTTAAAGTGCATATTTTAATCAAAGTGTTTCCAAATACACGCTTCTACTTGTTTTTTGAAAAAAAAAAAAAATATCAAATCAGTGTTAGTGTCCAAAGCTTTTGCATAAAATTCCTTATAAGGCGATCTGAGAACAAGACGTCTTGATATTCGTCTCTGATAATAAATCCTTTCTATTAAAATCAAGATCTATTCCATTCAGTCCATTTTATGTAACTTTACTTCCATAAATTTTAAGATGAATCAGTCTCAAACATTTTGATGTTATCATAGGAGTATTACAAATATATGAAAGTTTGAGCTTTTTTAACTAATCAAGCACGACTGGACTGCTCATATATCATCGCAAGAAAAATCCAAGATTAGGTTTGAAAGCCAAACACACCAAAACATCATGTAAAAAGCTGATCCAAAATTCGTCCTTTCCTAGACGGAGAGACTTAACTTCATTCCAAAGTTGCAAAGTAGATTCTAACAATTACTTTAAGAGGAACATGCATAATTGCATTTTCTGTCCAAAATGTTATTAATTTTTGTAAGTAATCGGAAACAAAATATAAGTTAGATTATCTATTCCCTGGTAAAAATTGGCAATAGAATCTGTGTTCCAAAATACCATAGACCCACGGCCGGCTGTAAGATTTCCAATAGCTTCTATAGCCGGCTACACAATTTCTTACAGCCTTTTATAGCCGATGGCGATTAAGCAACTCACAGCCAGGCGATAAAGTGTATGCTAAACGTCACTAATTACGGATGCTAGGACTTAGTGAGTTTTTGGACCACTGCTCTCTTTTTGGGCCGTATTATCTAGATTTATTTTGCGAGGAAAGCTCCGTACTTTTGATTGATGCCTGCCATTCCTAACATGTTGGAGCGCCTTCAGTTTCGTATGATACTGTGCAATACCTCTGGTGTGAAATAGTTGCTTCAAGCGCCGTGGCACGCTGCGGTGCGGTAGGCGGGCAACCAGCGCGAAACGCGCATTGGCGCCTACAAACCTAACAGGGATACTTCACGCGTTGCGCAATGCGTGAAGTATTCCTGTTACGTTTGTAGGCGCCACTGCGTCGCTGCTCCGCTTTGTGTTCGGCTCTAATATTTAATCTGACGGAGTCAGCGTTATTCAACTCATGATTTTGAAATGTTTGCACATCCTGTATGGATTATTCTCGTTTTAATTGATGAAAAAAAATATGTATTAAAGGAAAATATAATGTGTGTTTTGTAAATATTAAGGTGGTTCCGTATCAAACTCAATGATTTCCAAAGCATACAAATTTCTACACAATATCTTATAGCCTTTTATAATTGATGGCAAAAAAGCAACAGCCAGGCGATAAAGTGTAAAGCCCGGCTTTAGGAACTAAAGCCCGGCTGCATAATTTTTTATCGCTTTGTATAGCCCGGCCGTATGATTTTCTCCGCATTCTACAGCCAGCTATATGCTTATTTGTAGCCTTCTTTAGCCGGCTATAAGAATTCCTATGGTATTTTGAAACGCAGCTCTTATCGCCAATTTTTACCAGGGTTCGAAACGCCAAACACTTTCTTAGTAAAAATGCAATGGGCCAATTGCGGTGGTCCCAGTATCGTGCTTTGATGTTCAATACTTGAGGATCAGCTGGAACTAATAAGATCCGTCCAAAGCACTAACTGTCCACGTTCAGTATTAAGCAAAGTATCGGGCTTTGAAATATTCGGTTTATGACGTCATCCACCGCAGAGGTGACACTATTAGTTTCTTCTACCATGGTCTCATCAGTCAGGAAGACACACATTGGCACTGGCTAGTCAAAGTGAAACTCGGATGATAGCAAAGTGGAAGAAACCAAGGGTATCACTACTGCGGTGGATGACGTCATATACCGAATTTTGCAAATCGCGATATCTTCATTAATATTTAATTTAGAAAGTTGCTGTTTGGAAAGATCTTACTAAATTTAGCTGATCTACAAGAATCAAACACCAAAACACGATTCTGTGACCATCGCAACTGACTCATTCTGCCGTGCTAAGGAAAAACGCCGCATAAGCCTTCAGACGTTGCCGAGTTTCCTTCGTTTAAAACGGCAATTACTGGGAAAATTGTGAACATTATTTCCTAAAATTTTCAGACAATTTTTTACTTAATTTAATCTAAAATATCCGCAAATTCCAAGGAAAAATATGCATGCATTTTGTAAAAAATACAGGTTTTTTTTCTCGGGAAACTTGACAACTCCTGAATGTTTATACGGCGTTCTTCCTTAGCATGGCAGCATTGACGAGTAGATATTCTGCAACGGCGATATGTAGTTAAGTTCTTTCGACCGGTAGAAAACTGACTGAGCCAAAGCTCTGTTTTTCCTTACCTGCTTTGTCGTAATACCTAAAGGATCCCGGGAAGGGGTCTAGGAGGGACGTCTGCAAATAGCGTTTGGGGAAGAGGGCCTCCCTGGCGTCGAGGGTCTTGGGGCCGAAGAGGTGCTCGTATTCGAGCTTCCGTCGGAGGTGGTCGCTCCAGGCGCTGAGCGAGGGCCACGTCGTCGAGACGTGGGGGATGTAGTCGTCGCGCTCGGGGTAGATCCGTCGGACGAGCGGTTTCCGCGGGGCGTAGAACGTCGGCGTGTACTTCTTCGGGAACAGGTTCTCGAACTCGTCCAGCCGCTTCAGGTGGTCCGACCAGTCCTTCAGGGTCTTGAACGGCTCCAGCACCGGGTACGGGTTGTACACGTCTACGACAGGGCATGCAGAGTCAGCCGCTGTGGCATTTGTTTTTGGTGCCGGGGTTTGGACTCGGACGGAACGGAACGGAATGTAACGTAACGTAACGTAACGAGGTCCGAAGACAAGATATATTAAAGACCCTGCACTGCAGGCTTAATGGCACTGCAGGCAATCCTGTTTCTTTTGAGATTTTGAGTTAGAATCTCTTTCACGACGCGTATGTATGGGCTAAACGCGGAAACAAGTTTGGGATCATTTGAAACTGATTGCTCCAATGCCTCAAAGTTTCTAGCTTATGAATGTACTGAAATATGCTGTTACAAACTTGCTTGGGTGTTCTCCGATTTGAGCCGCGGTTTTGTTACCTGGAACTATGTTAGAGCGAAAACAAACCAAACTGCATAAAAATGTGAAGCGAAACTATCTCTCTAAGAACTTTCGACGAGGCAAAGCCAAACGAGTGGTGAGCAAAAAAGCCCATTGTATTTACAATCCCTGATGCAAAATTGGATTATGCGCAGCGCTAAGAAGCGACTCGAACTTTTGAATCAAACCAAACAAACAAAACATTCCGCTTCGAGCACATAAACACGTGAGGTGCAACAGTTGAGACACCAAATAACGCAGATTAAAATAAGCACTAAAATTTATAAGGCCATGACGGAAGATGGGATAATAAATAATGGGAGAAGCGCTTAACACGTCTTTAAACGATTTGCGTTTTTTTAAAAATACATTTTCCCCTTAATTTAATTTTATTTCTCATTCATTATTCACTTATACGGTTTTTTCCCCAAGGAAAATTTCGAGGTCAATGAATCAAGGTGCTTGGAGGACAAGGCGCGTAAGTGCAGTTATTAAAGAAATTGAGATATCAATGATTTCAAGTAAAACGATCCTTAATGCACATTCTTCGCTTGCAAATTCCAATTTCTGAGCATCCACCATTCTCCAGTTTGAACTTTCTTACCGCTATAAGGATCCATGTAATTTCGGAACTTCAAACACGTTTTTCTCGAAATAGCGAAAACTGTACTTATGCGCCTTGTTTTTCAAGCCCCTCAATAATTAAGACACGGTGGGTTTGACCCGGCGCTAAAGTTAATCCCATTCCCCATGGCGGTACCATACCAAATAATCTCCAAAAATTGTACGAAAAATAACGTCATACAGATTCACCTTCATACGACAAAGTAGGAAACCTGAGCTCCCAGATGGTGCAACAGTGGTATCTTGTGGTTATGCAAAAAGGTCTACGTGCTGGGAATGACGTCACACTGGAAAAAAACACATTGGATCTAGAGTCCAGACTCTTGAAAACATTGACAAGAAAAAATACTCTTGATTCAATCAGATGTAAGCTTAAATCAAAAGGAAATCTGCTCAAATTAAGAGGCTGGGCTCTTGATTTAAGCTTAAATCCGATTGTATCAAGAGTATTTTTTCCTGTCGATGTTTTTAAGTCTGGACTCTAGGTCCAATGTGTTTTTTTTTCCAGCGCAATTACCCATTTTAAGGGTATCAATTTAAGCATCTCGGCACGTTAAATATTACGTCATCTCTTAAAATTTACGATTTTCCGCCGATTCAGCAAGGATTCGTCATACGATACGGATCACCAAACTGAGGGGCCGGGAGACTCAACCAAGGGCGCTGAAAATAGCCGCTTGCTTTTCATTTTCGCACAGCGAGGGGCTCTACGTGAGATCAAGGCTTAAAAATAGACGCCGCGGTATCATTCACCGGACGCAGCGCTTTTCGATCGGTTATCATTCAACTTGAATTCGGCGGGAATACAGTGATGAATTCATCAGACGTCTTCGCTACATTGGTCCGCTACAGTGATATGAACTTTCTACGTTACGCAGACGTCATCCGTTACCAGTGGCGAGGCGTGAATGATCGATTATCGATATTTCTCCATTTGAAGCTGTGGTAAAGAATCAATTACTAAGGTGTCCGCTGCGAACACCCTGTCTATCGATCCTTTCCCATAGGTTTAAATGGCAAATCGATCGATATATCGCAAAGCACGCCACGCCACTGTCCGTTACATAACCACAATATTCGTTACGTAGCTCGATGTTTTGCCGCATCTTCGGCGCACTAGTATGTATGCATCTTCACTATTCGAGCAGTGTTCTGCCTTCCCCGGGCGCCATGCGCCAAAAACGCCTAAAAATCGGGCCTTGGCGCCTAAAAATCAGGGGGGCTGGGCCATCATGGCGCCTAAAAAATTTGACAGATTGAACTCGCAATCGGAAAGCAGCGGTAGTGAAGAAGCGCTCTCTATACGCGCAGTTCGCAGCATCGCCATGGCCCGTATGCAGAAAATTTAATTTGGCTCCTAAAAAATAGTAGATAGCTCTTAAAAATTGGGCATTCTGGCCTAGGTGGCTTCTAAAATTTTAGGGGAAGGCAGAGCACTGTACTTGAGGAACCACTAGGAAACTCCAAAAGCTGCTGGCACGCAGTTCTGAGGGCTTGTACCAAAGAGAACAGACTGGAGTAGGAGGCATGGCAAGGAGGTTCAAAAAATAAACCTACTTGAAATAAACAAAAAGATCATAGTATTTTTCATGACCACTTCCTCCTTCACCCTTTGCACCATGCTATAATGCGGTGATCCTTACTCAAATTTCTGTTGAGGTGCATTTGTTTGAAGTAATCAAAGTTGATTCGCACGCAGACAGCGCGACATGTCGCACACAAAACTGGCACCGAGCCTATAGTGGGGTGGATCTCGCAAAACTTTCCAAAATGAGAAGAAAGAAGGAAAAACACTGAATGTTAAAGTTCTATGCAACCACTGGAAAAGTTATGAAATTTGCAAACATTGCAGAGATGAGATACACTTCCGTTTATTGAGTATTTTAGTAATATCACTCTGCGAGATAAAAGCCACAGCTTGATGAACGATAGGAAAGCTAGTAAAAGAAAATGAATGAAAAGAGGAGGAGATTAAAATAAATCCAAACCCATAATGTGTTCTTGAAAATTAATTTCAATTAGAGTTTTTCACTTCAAACGGCACTCAAAGTAGATGAAAGTCCGGAACATTTGAATGAATACCTGCATAATTGAAAGCTACGGCTTTTTCTGACGGAGCCTTTGGCGCTGGACTCCACGCCCGCTTGGGGAAGTGCGACTCAAGGGTCGGCGTTTTTGGTCGGTAGGTGGCGGGTGAGGGGTATTTTTCGGGATACAGGCTCTCGATCTGAGCCAGTCGGTCTAAGTGAGCATCCCATTCGTTTTGCGCGTGATACGGCCCTTTGGCAAAAACGTCTGTGAAAAAAAGGTTGACAAAGGTTGACAAAGCACAAGGTAAAGCTCTCCGACGAATGACAAAAATCGCCGTCCCGTCTGGAAGTAATACCATGATTGCAAGTGAGGGTGTGCGATGGGTGTGGGTAGTGGATCATTATGGCAAATGACGCCATCTATGTCATGTTAAACGTAAAAAATATGGTCATTAATTTTATGTCAGACCTAAACAGTAAAACAGTGACGTCATTAGTCCATTCTAACATGAAAAATTACGTAATAATTCAAGTAATTATGGTCTTCGGAAATATATCTTACGTCAGACACAGCCGTTAAATTACCCCACTCCCCTCCTTTTGTTCTTTGAATCTTTGGATACAGTTGGAAATCAGAAAATTTATTCAGGGATGAAACGACTTACCATAAGTGGTAGCTATAAAAGAAGGGACAATATACACGGAAAAAAAAGCACGAGGTTATTGGATGATATGGACATTTCCCAATTAATTGTGGTAGTATCCCCACTTAATTATGGTAGTGCCCCCAATTAATTATGGTAGCCCCCCAATTAATTATGGTAGTACCAAAATAAATTAGGTAACTAACTCACCCGTATGTTGCGGCACTACCCTGACTTGAGTTGCGGTACTAATTCAATTAATTAGAGCTGTCCGTATCATCCAACAAATTGGGGTAGTACCACAATTTTAGGGGATAACCCCTGGAAGTTTTTTTACCGTGTACACATACTCGTATTGTAGAAAGCGTTCGTTGCTATCTCTCTTAAAGCGTAAAAGCTATGTTCGAAAGTCAACACTCTGCATTGCCTCACTGTATAGGCAATCTGTTCAGCAAGTAAGACCTAGTCTGATGCTCTGATGAAGTCCTGCAAATTCCTCAATCCGGAATTCATTTTTCATTATTTGGTCAATTTAATACTATAGAAATCTACTGTCGATGTGGCTACTGAAATGCAAACTTTACTTAAAGTAAAATATTGAAGAGTACAATCCAGCATCAATTTTTTGTCAACGTTTCACATGCCGTATAATCCGATCTGGCCTAATAAATTTCAGCTCGGCTGTTAAGCGCCTTTGAAAGCGAAGACACAAATAAGTTCTTCTTGCACTTCCCCAGTCATCTTAAAACTAAAAAGCAAAAGCTTTGTTTGCGCAATTTCCTTCATTATTTTCATTCAGAGGCGTAAATCTGTCACCTAACGTATCTCATTTACATTAGCAATGAATTATTTCGATAGCTTACTCCAGGAGCGCGAATCACAATAGGAATGTTTCACAACTGTGCCGTAATAGATATTTTCTCTCTAAAGGTAAAGCACATCCAAATTGATTTGCATTTTTCTCAATTTTTCCAAACCAGTCTTTGATAACTCTGTAAAATATTCAAGTTGTATGTTTTCTCCTCGGGAGATAAAATACGAGCAAACAGTTTGAAACGTTGATCAATGTGCGTGGCTTTGGAGGTAAACTATTGAAATATTCCGCAAAATGAGCATGATTACCTAATGGCTGGCACATGGTTGATGGCAATCTTTTTTCACACATATCTGAAGAATTTGGATCAATCTAAAGAGATACCTCTAATTGAATATTAATCCAATATACAATTTGATAAAAACAATGAAAAAGTTAAGAAATACACTTTAATTTTTGGAGGAATATTTTTCCGAGTACTGAGGAGCAAATTTATAGGAATCATAAATTCATAATTCTGAGTAGCTTAA